AAATAATAAGTCAGTTTCACGCTAGTTCTTTTAAAGTAAATTTGTGCATAACATTTAGATATCTACTATTTGTATGTTTCACAGCATGCTTTCGATAAACATCGACTTCACATCACTGCGGTTGTTCTGGCTATTTCACACAATTAACAAGAAAATGATACCTTATTCTTTTGCATAATCATGCAATGAAAATAAAAATTACATAAACGGATGATCAAACTTGACATTATTTAATAAAAATGTAATTTTTCCAAAATATCGTAAAGAAAAATCTATACATTTTCAAACTCGTTTTGCGATATCGTAAACTAGGTCGAAACTACTTAATAGAAGTCTGAAATGCGACTCTGAATAGAGGTAAATTTTAAGTTGGTACTTAAATTTAAGTTTCAACTTTGTTAGTTTCGACTTAGTTGCTGGACTATGAATACGCTTCAATAATACGGACGACCGCTGTTCAGAAAAAAACCTTTTTTCTATATTTTTTGCGATGTTGCTTTGACCAGGGTTTGAACCCGGGTGCTGCGGAGTGGAAGCGCGCACTGCTTACCACCACACCACAGCGGCCGACGAGCATTTAGATTGTTAATGCAAAAATGGAGTTGCATTTGGGTGACGAATTTTGTGTGGATAAATTTACTTTTACAGGTCTATTCTGCACGTTACCGAAGATTTTGTAACCGGAAATTGTTTTACCAAAAAATGTTACCAGTTCTTGTCACCGCGATTATAGGTACGTTGGTAATGCAGTTAAAATATTCAGCAATTCAGCTATGAAGAATTGTGCAAATCCTGGCATTGCATATTTCACGGAGCAATAATTTGTTACCTTCTTATGAGATGGTAACAAAATTTACCGGTTACAAGAGTATACAGAATGCGAAAAGGGTTTAAAAATTGACAGGAACTTTATTTACTGGTTACAAACTTTTTATTACCAGCGCAGAATAGACCTGTAATGGCCGTTTTCACCATTTCTGGTTAACACTAATCTCCAGTTAAACATCGTTACCGACGTTATTGACCCAAAGTTATATGTATGGAGTCAGTAACGTCGGTAACGTTGTTCAACTGGAGATTAGTGTTAACCAGAGATGGTGAAAATGGCCCTTAGAGTAGCATTTAGAGCTATATGCGCTAAATGTGCTTTTACGCGTAAGCAAAAACAGCCCATTACAAGTATAATGTTATTAACAATTCTTCCCGATATAAATTGGGANTTAGTTGCTGGACTATGAATACGCTTCAATAATACGGACGACCGCTGTTCAGAAAAAAACCTTTTTTCTATATTTTTTGCGATGTTGCTTTGACCAGGGTTTGAACCCGGGTGCTGCGGAGTGGAAGCGCGCACTGCTTACCACCACACCACAGCGGCCGACGAGCATTTAGATTGTTAATGCAAAAATGGAGTTGCATTTGGGTGACGAATTTTGTGTGGATAAATTTACTTTTACAGGTCTATTCTGCACGTTACCGAAGATTTTGTAACCGGAAATTGTTTTACCAAAAAATGTTACCAGTTCTTGTCACCGCGATTATAGGTACGTTGGTAATGCAGTTAAAATATTCAGCAATTCAGCTATGAAGAATTGTGCAAATCCTGGCATTGCATATTTCACGGAGCAATAATTTGTTACCTTCTTATGAGATGGTAACAAAATTTACCGGTTACAAGAGTATACAGAATGCGAAAAGGGTTTAAAAATTGACAGGAACTTTATTTACTGGTTACAAACTTTTTATTACCAGCGCAGAATAGACCTGTAATGGCCGTTTTCACCATTTCTGGTTAACACTAATCTCCAGTTAAACATCGTTACCGACGTTATTGACCCAAAGTTATATGTATGGAGTCAGTAACGTCGGTAACGTTGTTCAACTGGAGATTAGTGTTAACCAGAGATGGTGAAAATGGCCCTTAGAGTAGCATTTAGAGCTATATGCGCTAAATGTGCTTTTACGCGTAAGCAAAAACAGCCCATTACAAGTATAATGTTATTAACAATTCTTCCCGATATAAATTGGGATTTTAAGAGCAGAAATGTGTAATATAGTTAGGATTGCATGTGGTGGAATTTGAACCCGCGACCTCGGTGTTTTAAGACATCAACTCAATCTCTACCCTGCCAGCCACGGCTCACCACTTTCCCCTAAAATTCAAACGATTTACAAACACATTCACAACTTTTTAGTCATCTCACCCACACACTTACAAATTTTTTGTTCGAACTGTCAAAAAATGTCCCTTTGATAGAGCTACATAGCCGATAAGAATTCGTACTCTAACAAGAATTCTATGCGTTAGAGCGAGCAAGTTAGAAACATCGGAGTTTTGATGACAGTATATATACTGTGAAGAAATGTCACTACGAAAACTTTGAAGGTAAGAATACGTATTTAACAATTTTATTTAATTATAATGTTATTTCTTCTTTTAGATTGCAAAACAGCAGCGACTTAGTCACATTCTTAAGGTATGTATTGAGACTTTTTATATGTTTATAAATTTTAATTGATATTTTTGCTTGTTTACAGATTTGGGATTCACTATCAGCACCATCAACGCTTGCATCTTCATCGCCAGAAGCACCATTAGAACCTTCTGCCCTCAGCTTCTTCATCGCCAGGAGCACCACCAGTACCTTCTACCCTCAGCTCCTTCATCGCCAGGAGCACCATGAGTACCTACCGCCCTCAGCACCTTCAACGCCAGGAGCACCTTCAAAGTGTAGGTCCAACTTGTCAAATTTTGCAAAGTTGTAAGAAAACTTAATTTTTCTGAACCACCATAAATGATTTGCAACTGTTAATATATATCAAAAGAAAGGTAAACCGATTACCCTTCTTTTGATTATAACACCGTTAAAATTGCTTTACGTTTTCATAAAAACTTTGCAACTTTTGTAAACAGCTATATATAAGCAGAGGAAAAGTGGTAACATTTTGCAAAGTTGTAAAAAACAGATTTTTTTAAAACTAGTGTAAATGATTTGCAACTTTTGATATATATCAAAAGAAAGGTAAATCGATTACCTTTCTTATGATTATAATATTGTTTAAATCACTTAACTTCTTTATAGAAATTTTGCAACTTTTGTAACCCTCTATATATAGGTCGAAAAAACGCAATCAAATTTTGCAAAGTTGTAATGAAACTGAATTTTTGTGAACCATTATAAATGATTTGCAACTTTTAATATATATCAAAAGAAAGATAAGTCGATTACCTTTCTTTTGATTATAATATTATTAAAATCGCTTAACTTTCTCATAGAAATTTTCCAACTTTTTCAACATCTATTTGCAAATGAGTAATACTAATAATAAGAAATTAAGCCAGCGCATATGTATGTATGTAAAAATATATTTATTAATGTTAATTACAAGTTTTATTCATAATATTGGTTATTAAGTATGTATATTATGCATTTTGAAAATAAATTTTGCAAAATAAAAATCAAAACATTTTAGGATTTTTTATTTAAAGTTTCTAAGGTTATTTTGAATTCGCTGTGAAGAGAATGCCACCCTGAGCCGGCAGAAGGGGACAATGCTAGACGAGTGCAGCTATATGTTTTCCTTACGAAGTATCTGAATGAGTGCGACAGTGATGCAAGGCTCACACGTACAGGGGAAAAGTGGTGACAATCTGCACACCGCCCATGCAAATGTCACCAGTCTTGTCACCAGTTTTGAAGTGACCGAAACCCGCGGTTTCACCAGATTTTTCACCACTTTTGGCTGGCAGGGTACGTGTTGTTACACAATATCGAATCGGTTTACCTTTCTTTTGATATATATTAAGAGTTGCAAATCATTTATGGTGGGTTAGAAAAATTAAGTTTTCTTACAACTTTGCAAAAGTTGGACGTACACTTTGAAGGTGCTCCTGGCGTTGAAGGTGCTGAGGGCGGAAGGTACTCATGGTGCTCCTGGCGATGAAGGAGCTGAGGGTAGAAGGTACTGGTGGTGCTCCTGGCGATGAAGAAGCTGAGGGCAGAAGGTTCTAATGGTGCTTCTGGCGATGAAGATGCAAGCGTTGAAGGTGCTGATAGTGAATCCCAAATCTGTAAACAAGCAAAAATATCAATTAAAATTTATAAACATATAAAAAGTCTCAATACATACCTTAAGAATGTGACTAAGTCGCTGCTGTTTTGCAATCTAAAAGAAGAAATTACATTATAATTAAATAAAATTGTTAAATACGTATTCTTACCTTCAAAATTTTCGTAGTGACATTTCTTCACAGTATGTATACTGTCATCAAAACTCTGATGTTTCTAACTTGCTCGCTCTAACGCATAGAATTTTGTTAGAGTACGAATTCTTATCGGGTATGTAGCTCTAACAAAGGGACATTTGTAAGTGTGTGGGTGAGATGACTAGAAAGTTGTGAATGTGTTTGTAAATCGTTTGAATTTTAGGGGAAAGTGGTGAGCCGTGGCTGGCAGGGATGTTAGGGTTTGACCGAGATTCTCCTCCGATTTGTTAAGTGCGCCTTAAGTTCTGAACACATTAAAAACGACGAGCTACGGGCCACAGTTTCCACAGCGACATGATTTTTTTGAATGCGTCGGCGATATCAAGAATTTGTACGAGTTTGACATAACAGAAGAGGAAGAACCTTATCTATCGCTGGAAAAATAGAAATAGATCTAATCACAATCACAGTCGTCGCGTAGCCCGGTCGGCGCCAAAATAATTATCTACATAAGAGTATGTGGTAAAATAATTTTACAGCTATGGTCTATAGCTCGTCGTTTTCATTGTGTTCGGGCTATTAATGTTGTGGCACAAAAGGGGTCCCTACAGTTTTATGTCGACTTTGAACGGCGATTTTGTTTTAATGGGAAGCTGGTTTTCATTTTCAAGTTTTAAGCACTTCTAATCATTACACCACAGTGGCCTATATACGAGACCTATATTCATATAAATTTTTTGGATTTTGGTATCGATATTTGGAATATCGAGTCTTTTTATTCCGATGTTAATGGGTACCCGATATTTTTAAAGCGATACTTTAAATGAGTACCATATCGATACCTTCTGTTCGATATCGTGTCCCTACTTGGCTGCGAATGCTTGGGCCACTAAATTAACATACTAACGACAGATAAATTAATATTTCATATCAATAATGGCACTAGAAACAACATTTCTTGCCCGCACTTGATTAAAAAGGAAAATTTGTTCACACAATTTTATTTATTTGCAACAGCTGACGAGCGACGCACGCGAAAAGATGAGAGTTGGCCATCTTTTTGCTTTGTGTTGGCGAGAGCGTTGCCGAATTTTGGCTATGTTGACAGTTACAATTTCGAGAAAGTAGAGAATTTCGTTTACTTGGGAACCAGCATTAACACCGATAATAATGTCAGCATTGAAATCCAACGTAGAATCACTCTTGCCAACAAGTGCTACTTTGGACTGAGTAGGCAATTCAGGAGTAAAGTCCTCTCTCGACGTACGAAAACCACGCTCTATAAGTCACTCATCATGCCCGTGCTGGTATATGGCGCAGAAGCATGGACAATGACAACATCCGATGAGGCGGCTCTTGGGGTGTTTGAGAGAAAGATTTTGCGGAAGATTTACGGTCCTTTACGCGTTGGCGACGGCGAGTACCGCAGACGATGGAACGATGAGCTGTATGAGCTTTACAACGACATAGACATAGTGCAGCGAATTAAAATACAGCGGCTCCGCTGGCTTGGCCATGTCGTTCGAATGGACACCGACGCTCCAGCTCTGAAAGTATTCAACTCGGAACCCGCTGGTGGTAGCAGAGGAAGAGGGAGGCCCCCACTGCGATGGAAAGATCAGGTGGAGAAGGACTTGGCTTCACTTGGCGTTTCCAATTGGCGTCAGTTGGCACAGAGGAGAAACGACTGGCGTGCTTTGCTGAACTCGGCCAAAATCGCTTAGGCGGTTACAGCGCCAAAAAAGAAGAAGAAGAAGAGGACGGCTGGATTTGAATTCATGTATTCATAGTCAGCTGTTGAAGCGACACCAATGCCAACGCAACTCCAAAGTTCTATGTGGATGGGCCTTTATTTATTACTTGAATACGTAACTTGCCTCAAATTTTTCCCTTTCAACTGAGTTTCAATTTTGCGAAAATAAAAAAAATACTAAGCTTCTGAACATGATCCCACTACACAAGATCTGACAAGATGAAGCAAAAGAAAAAAGTAGTTTTCTGCCTGACGATTGTAATTTCGGCGCCATGTTATCTCCTTTGAAATGAAGAATGAACCAAAAGTTAACAAAGAATATGAAGACGAAGCATAAAGAATAAAATTAGAGCAATTTTGATCGCATGTTTGTGCTAACAAATTTATTAAATTTGTACGTGTTTTTGCAACCGATCACTGCGCACTTCATTTCAATTATATTTGAACAAAAAATTTATTGAAAATCGCTTAAAAATCACTGAAATAAACCACCGCCCATGCACATAAAGAAATAAATATAAACAATAAAACAAACAGCAAACTTCAAAATTACAAAGATCACACACTTTTTTCTTAAATGCTATTGCAAATGGCTGCTAGTCAACGGGTCAGATCTTTTCTAATTGGTGCATGGCTTCTGCATGCTAACGCGGCGTTTTTGCTGCACTTAAAATGCAACATATATTATTTTATTTTTTCGTAGAGCGTTCATGCTAAAGTATTTAGCAAATGTACATTTACGCGAGTTCGAAATCGTATGCTTTTGACAAACAGCCAAGTTCCAGTCGCTTATTCAGATCCGTATCTATTACGATCAATTCTCACGCAGAAGATAATTTGCAAAAAACCTTACTGAAAAGGAAAAAAACAAATTTTAAACCAAAAATTCAATACAAAAACTTGAATTATTTTAACCATAACCGAACATTTGTTTGTGTATATATTCATTTGTCGGTGCTGTCAACTAAAATTTCCTTACTTAATTAGGAAACAAAACAAACAGAGTTGATCACAAATCGATCCAGATTTCTATCAGCATCACATCGTTGTTGAATTTGCGTTACTTTTCTTTATCCAAATAATGTAAAATAATAAATGAAATCTCGATCGGCGATCACTGAAACGTAGCTAGCTACTGTATACGCGAAAAAGCAATGTTGCCACTTTTTCTCATGAAACCATGTTCGAATCGTGAAAATTTTGGAATATCACAGGGTTGCTTTTGGCATTTAGATTTAGGTGACGAATTTTGTATGGATAAATGTACATTTAGAGTAGCATTTAGAGCTAAATGTGCTTTTACGCGTAAGCAAAAACAGCGCATAAAATGGTAATCTACAAACTGTCAAATGAAGAGCAGTGTTGCATTCGTAAACAACAAGTGAAAGAGCTGATGCAATTTATAACAAATATTTTTAGCAGAATATGATCCAAATGTGGAAGAATTTTCGCCTGAATAAATAATTCTGTAAACAAATATCTGACATTTATATACTTGCAGAAATAATTGTTTTTTGCGGTCTAGCAGTTTTTCTGAGTTCTTCGACCGCTGCTCTCTCTTGTGAGAGATATTTTGCTTTTTGATAGTTCTACAGGTTTTATGTTTTTGCTTACGCGTAAAAGCACATTTAGCTCTGAATACTACTGTAAATGTACATTTATCCATACAAAATTCGGCAGCTAAATGCAACTAAATACAACTCCATTTTTGCATTAAGGATCCCTGTGATCTTCAAAAATTTCCACGATTCGAACATGTTTTAATGAGAAAAATTGGCAACATTGCTATTTCGCGTATACAGTGGCTAACTGCGTTTCAGTGATCGCCGATCGAGATTTCATTTATTATTTTACATTATTTGGATAAAGAAAAGTTACGCACATTCAACATCGATGTGATGCTGATAAAAATCTGGATTAATTTGTGATCAACACTGTTTGTTTTGTTTCCTAATTAAGTGAGGCAATTTTAATTGACAGCACCGACAAATGAATATATACACAAACAAATGTTCGGTGGTGGTTCAAACAATTCTAGTTTTTATATTGAATTTTTGATTTAAAATTTATTTTTTCTTCTTCAGTGGGGTTTTTTACACTTTATCTTCTGCGTGAGAATTGATCGTAATAGATACGGATCTGAATAAGCGACTGGAACACGGCTGTTTGTCAAAAGCATACGATTTCGAACTCGCGTAAATGTACATTTGCTTAATGCGATAGCTTGAACGCTCTTCGAAAACATATGTTCGAAAGTGCTAAATGTTGCATTTTAAATGCAGCAAAAACGCTGCATTAAACTGCTAGTTGGTACTTGCTTATTTTATCAACTGAGAAGTTCCTTTTCAGCTTATACGGCTTTCCCACGTCACAGTGAATTACTTTGTTCGCTCCAGGGAACGTAAAGTATAGAGAAGGACCACGACCGAATCAGCGTTGAAACTGTCAAATACCAACAAAACTGGCGAATCGTATTTTGACAGAGCCCAACCAGAGGCAAAAGAAATTTAACATAAAATTAACAGAAATTTTCTCATCAATAGGTGTCTTCGTCTAAATTGCCTAAATAAACAGTTTATCCGAATTCTATCAAGGACGCACCTTGGTAAATATTTACATAAAATTGTTCACTCTTTAACTTATGTATATGGGTAGTTACGTTTTTATTCTTACCTCGTCCATTGTGCCAAAAACAGCCAGAAAGCGTTTCCCACCTAGGAAAATAAATAATAGGAGCGAATACCTTCCACTTTTGGAAGGTAAATGTCTTCTTCTTCGTGCCCGAAACAACCCGGACTTTTTTTCCGGGCAGAGATGTGCAAGAAATCAATTTGAAATAACAGCCGTTGTTGGAACTTTTGGCAGGGGTTGTCACCAGGGACGTGAACAGGTTTTGAACCGAACCGGTTTTAAACCGGAAAACCGCTTTTTTCTATTAATTAACTGAACCATTAACCGAACCGAAATTTTCCACAAATGTTTGATCCGAACCGAAAACCGAACCACTTTCTATAAAGGTTTAAAGGTTCGTTTCAACCAATTTTCAATAGATAAATGTGCCCATTTTTTTCTTTTTGTTAAACATGGTAATACCTACCATGTTTGTGTACCATGTGACAATATCAAATGTAAGGCACTTGACCCTTAACCTTGCGCGTTGTTGCACTTGACACTTGACACTTAAGCTCGGAACACTTTGACGACTGCAA